AGGCAAAGGCCAGGAACGGGGTGACCAGCAGGGGGCAGAATAAGATTCCTGCCCCACGAGCACACCCTCTAAAAGCAGTCCCTTCGTGAGAAAACGGAGTCCTGGCTTTGCCATCTAAAGCTGTCAAGAAGTTACATACCTTAAACATTTACAAAATAGGAGATGTCTCTAAGATGGTTTTAAGTACATTTTAAAATTCATTTAATCTCCTTATACTCCAATTTAATCATCTGTAAAGGAAAGGTAACAGTAACTTTTGTGGATATTCTGATCATTAAGAGAAAAGTCATGCATATGAAAGGGCTGGGTAAACCTTACTCTTAAAAAGATTAGTTTTCTAATAAACATGACTTCCCTTTTTAATGAATCTTAAAATGCTGATTATTATTATTTTTTCTGTCCCCATCCACTGAAGACTTCATGGGTTGATTATCTCACACCTGCTTGAATGGTTACTAGTGAAAGGGAACTCTTCCATAATGTTAGTGGTAATGGAAATTAGAATAGCCATTATAGAAAGTGGTATAGAGGTTCCTCAATAACTTAAAAATAGAATTGCATATAAACCCCCTAGTGATATATATCCAAAGGATAGGAAATCAGTATGTGAAAGAGCTACCCGCACTCCCATGGTTAACATAGCATTATTTACAATACCCAAGATACGGAAATCAGCCTAAGTGTCCACCAACAGACGAAGGATAATGAAAATGTGGCATATACACACCATAAAACACTATTCAGAACTAAAAAAGAAGAAAAGAAAATCCTTTCATTTGTAACAACATGGATGTACCTGGAGGATATTATGTTCAATGAAATAAGCCAAGCACAGAAAGAGAAATACCATAGAGACCACATGTAGAATCTAAAAGAGTTGAACTCATAGAAGCAGAGACTAGAATGGTGATTATCAGGGGAGAGTGAGGCAAAATGGGAATGTTCATTAAAGGACACAGGATATAAAACCACAGGAGGAATAAAGTTTAATAAAGACCTACTGTATAATATGGTGGCTATATAACAATGTAGTGTATGCTTGAATCTTGCAAAAATATTACCTCACCACATGAAGGTAGGTGAGGCAATACATATGCTAATTGGCTTGATTTAGCCATTCTGCAACCTATACATATACCAAAACATCACACATTGTATACATAAATATATACAATCTTTGTCAATTAAAATAAATGGGAAAACAAAGACATAGTTAATTCTTGATTTTTGGATCACAACTATAAATCACAGCCTATGAAGATTCTTTCACATGCTACAGCACTGCACATAGGGGGCCCTGTGTTTAGAAATAATTGTTCTGGAGACTAGCTTATTCAATTATACTTCTTCTAGAAATGGTTCTGAGAAGCAAAAGCTAACACACGCCTTCACAGTCTGAAGATAAAACATGAGGAGGATGTTTCCATCACTATGAACAACTGAAGCTTTATGGTCTTTTCTAAAGGAACCGATACAGAATACTTCTCTCGAGGAGCTCTGTGGGCACTAGGCAAGCACACATTCTATTTAAACTAATGAACAGAAGGACGAGCATCTCCATGGGACAGCAGTTTATAGTCACCAAACATCTAATTACACAGATTAGTGCAAAGAGACAGAAACACAACATTAAGGTTTATTTTTAAGTTTATAAGAATTAACTTTATAGCAAGTAAAAGAAAACTTGATCAATATATCAAAGGTATAAAAAAAAGTAAAACCATAAAAATTGAAGTTTAAAATTTTTTAAGTGCAGAAGGACTTACTTTATAGGAAATAAAATAAAACTTGATCAACAAATCAAAGAGCACATATACACATAAAGATTTCAATCTATAATAAAATATGATGTGTGGATTTTGGTAGATCATCAATCAAAGAAGCTAACTCCAAAAACATTTTGGGGAGGATCAGAGTAATCTGGGTATTAGATAATAATATAGAATTAATAACTTTGCTAGATGTGATGATAGCATTATGGTTATATACAAAAACTTACTTAACTTGCCGGGCGAGGTGGTGCACACCTGTAATCCCAGCAGCCTGGGAGGCTGAGACAGGAGGATCATGAGTTCAAAGCCAGCCTCAGTAAAAAGTGAGGTGCTAAACAACTCAGTGAGACCTTATCTCTAAATAAAATATAAAAAAATAGAGCTGGGGATGTGGCTCAGTGGTCAAGTGCCCCTTAGTTCAGTCCCTGGTACCACCCCCACCCCCGACAAAAAATTAATTAACTTATAGAGAGGCATACTGAATTATTAAGGAAGAAAAATGCTACAATGTGTAATATCTGCATTAAAATGCTTCAACAGCAACAAGAAAATAACTTGATGAGATAAGCCACATCATGTTAAGTGATGAGAGTTACGATACACTATTCTTATAAATATTAAAAAGTTTTCTTCACTTAATATTTAAAAAGAAGAATGCGAGTCTGATAAAATATCTGGTGTATCTACACAATAAGGTTGGTTGCCTGATCCAAAAAAGAAGAGAACGGCTAAGTCCACATGTTCTGTGGTCAGAAAGAGACCTGAGGAAATCTTTTACATTTGCTTTGATAGAAAAGTTGTGAAATGTAGGCAAAACAAATACTTCCTTTAATTTTTCTGGCAAACTATCAAAATCCACCCCAACAGAGCTGAAGTCAGAGATGGCAGAGAGGGAACTGTGATGGCTCAGGGCTGCACTGAGGCTACAAGGAGGCAGATACATGCCTGTCAACACTGGTCACCTCCACTATTTGACCTATACCCACAGCCTTCTTGGAACCAATGATCTCATTAGTCACCTTTCAAGAGACAGAGAAATTTTTTATCCTTCATTTATGAGAGAGCCCTTACAAAGTCTCTCACATTGAGGTTTTGCTCTATCATAATTGCTATTTTAAATGACAAAGTACCATGGAATTATTAAAAATTTTAAATGCTTATGAAGGTCACTGCCAAAAATCTTTTACAAAGGAGACAACATTTATAATATGTTAATAGGGAAATATTACCATATGGTAATTATTCCTGGAGGAATAAGTTCAAAGTGCAGTCTTTGGATATGGCTATAAATAAGCCTTTAATTTTAAAGATTACTTACAAAAGCAATCTGGTAAGTGGTTATTTTGTGGAGAGTAGACATATTCACCTAAGAAATATAGGTATAGGTACTTGTTGCCGGGACTAAAATTTTTAGAAATAACATCCAATAAGGATCAAAAGAGCGCTCATATCAAAAACAGCTTAGATGGAGTGAAGATGAATGTGCTTTGCAAAATGCATTAGGTGACTCAAGAAGTGGCTCTGATGATGACCAGCTTTCCAATGTCAGAAATCGATGCAAAGAGTTTGAAGAAACGTCATTTCATGAAATATGAGAGTTTCATATTTTCAGAGAGAAGGTGAGAGTGCTTCTGAGATACAAAGACCAAGAGTGAGAGAAGCGGGGACAACTGGTTGGAATAAGGTAAAACCTGTTGACTAGGGATGGCACATAATCCAGGTTTCCAAGTATTTGAAGAACAGGTATGTGAAGAGAGATTAATTTATTGTCTATAGTTAGAGAGCAGAAATTAAATGAATGATGCAAATTATAGAGAGGCAGATGTTTGCTCAATGTGAGATAGAACCTTATAGCAATTAGAGCTGTCCAACACTGAATTTGAAAATCATGTGTAAGTAAAGGCTTAGTGATGAATTATAAGGAAGTTGGAGTAAAATGCCATTTAGCAATTCCATCCTATTATTTTATCAAATATCTACATGTTGGCAACAAGCTTAAGTTGATAAATTCATTTATTTTATTTTTTAAAATATTTTTTTAGTTGTAGACGAACACAATTCCTTTATTTATTTATCTTTTTAATGAGAGAGGCACTGGGTTTGATCCTTGTTTATTTTTTGAAGACACTTTTCAGGGTGTGTACGTGTGTGTGTGTGTGTGTGTGTTTTGAGGTGTTGAGGATTGCTAGGCAAGTGCTCTACCATTGAACTATACCCCCAGCCTTACTGCATATGTAATGGGTTGATCTATGTGAATCATTACTTTAAGTTCTGTGGACAATAAAACATATTAAAATAATGATAGAAGATTATGATCAAGGGAGGTCATTCCTTGGCTACGGTTTGGCTGCAGGTTAAAGCAGATATGTAATGAGGGCATGGATCAGTTAGAATTTTTATCTTCTTTGTTAAAGCATTTCATAATTGTCCTCTCTCTGGGCCAGGCTCTCTGCATGTCCAAGAATAAACTGATTCATCCATAGTAAAGATATGAGTCAAATATTTTGGCTTTGCTCTGAAGCCTTTCTTGGCTTGAACACAAGACACTGGGACTTTGTCTTCCAATTTCCCAGCTTGTTCTATCAAATCTTCTCAAAAGCTATTAGACAAAGAATGAACAATGGGGATTATCCAATAGGCCTTCCAAATGCAATACCCAAGAAAGCAACATTGGAATTACATAAAACCACTGGTCACTAAATTCTGTTCTTGATCATAAAGAGATTAGTTAATAGCACAAAATCATTGGTTCAATGATGCTTGCAATAGAGCAAAGAAAAAACCATTCCAGGATTAAAAGTATTAGAGATACAACTTTTTTGATAGATGAAGAAGAAGAACTATAAATTTGCCAAGTCCAGTGGAAGATAAGTTGAAAAACACTATTGAAATATAAGGATACTTGGGTTGGGATTGTGTCTCAGCAGTAGAGTGCTCGCCTAGCACATGCAAGGCCCTGAATTCAATCCTCAGCCCCACATAAACATAAATAAAATAAAGGTATTGTGTCCAATTACAACTAAAAATTATGTTAAAAAAGAGAAATATATGGATACATAATGATAAGAATATAGACAAAACATTAAACGAAAACAATTGCATTTGATGAAGCTGCCCTTGAACAATTTAAAAAAAAAAAAATGAACAGGAGCTATATGAATCATTCAAATTTTTCCTTAAATAATCTGAAAGTAAATATTGTTCTCGATTCTAATCCGAAATGCTGACCTGAGATTGTTGAAAAAGGATGCTTTTCTCTGGATTTATACCACAAGCAAGAAGAGCTGCAGTCATGTCCAGGATGCTCTGCCGAAGAATGGTGGGGTCTTGAGGGATGGTGATGGAGTGGAGGTCAACGATGCTGTATAGCACTGTGTCATATTCATCCTGTAACCTCACCCAGCTCTCAATGGCTCCTAGGTAATTTCCCAAGTGGAGGATTCCTGTAGGCTGAATACCAGAAAATATCCGCTCCATACTGTCTTTCTAAAACGAAGGAAAATAAACATATTTGCTTTTGAGGCAGGATCCCAAATCCTATGCTCATGTTACAATGACTATGATGGCTAGTCCTATTTTTGCCAACTGTAATCTGACAGTCATTTGCATCAAGCATTTATCCTGTGCTTACACTGTGCAAAATCACCACACTAGGTGCTATTAAAGACCATGACGTTTAATTTTTTTTTTTTATACTTAAAACCTTTTAAACATAATGATACATGAAAAGAGGTCTGTAACCCCAAGAGAATATGATCTAACTGGAGATACAGGATGTTTATGAAAAGATAAGTAAAGGTACAATGGGGCATCATAATCATGACTAGGTAGGAAAGTAGAAGAGTGCGGTACAGGCAGCAGCTCCCAAGAAGAAAAGACGACTGTGGTTCTGGTGGTCAGTGAGAAAGTCCTCAGACATAGAATCATATTTCACTAGAGAGTAAGAAGCTCAAAGGTTTTTCATGTGATTTCACTTATTTTGTAGTTAAGGAAATGAAGGCCATAGCTTCAGTGCTAAGGGCTACTGCTATTTATTAAAGTGTGTTTTTTTTTTAAATAATTGCTGATAGTAAATTTACTGTGTAGATTCTTGGATTAGAAATTAGGAAACACTTTTTGTTTCTAATATTATTTTTTAAAGAACTTTTTAAAAACTTTTTTGTGCTTCAGTTTCTTTTTTTTAAAATTTTTTTTAGTTATACATGGACAGAATATCTTTATTTTGTTTGTTTATTTTAATGTGGTGCTGAGGATTGAACCCAATGACTCACATGTGTGAGGCAAGCGCTCTGCCACTGAGCCACAACCCCAGCCCTCAGTTTCTTTTAATTTTGATAAAATTACATTTTTATTTCTTCAAAAGAAGTTTTTAATTCTGCATAATTTCCTAAATTATAAAAACATTTTTTTGGTCATGATCATATTTTCTCTTTGGATTGTACTTTCTAGTAACGAAATTTTAATAGGAAAATGAAAAAATGCAATACAGGGTTAAATAAAATGCTGTTTCCCCCCAGAATTACTTAATATTCTATGGTGAAAAAATTCACAATGAGTATGTATCAATAAATGTGCTGTAATTAAAAGGCTCTGGAAATATAAAATACATCATTATCATTTTAACCACCATTACAACGAAAAATTAATAATAGTGATCATAACTTACAGGGCAACTACTATGTTGCTGACACTTTATCTCAATGCCTTATAAACATTAATATAGTTAATCCTTATGTTATTGATATGGTAGGCATATTATTGTATCCAGGGCAGATGAGAAAACCGAGGCTTACAGATTTGAATAGATCTCCCTTGATGACAGAGCTATAAGTGGTGGAATTGGGATTTCAGTGCAAGTATCACTCACTGACTTCAAAGCCCAGGCATGCTCTCTCCACTAACTACCATATTTTGCTTAGCCAGCATCTGTGAAGGCTTTATCATATATGGTATGCTTATTTGCCACTTTTCCATAGGCTTGACATTTTGCAAAATAAAGTTATAGGAACAAAAAAGTCCATTTCTTTTTGTGTACAGTGCAAGTTTCTCTAGTGTGCATGTGTAGAGACCCAGCTGCTGAATCAAAAGGTGTATACTCACACCTGCAACTACCTACCATGTGGTGAACTACTCCTTTACATTTCTACCACCAGCTCTTGTTGTTCCACCTCCCCTCAAAACCTGGTGTTGCCAGCCTTTTGTGTTTTACTAACATGTAGATTCTACTCCACGAAGTAGAATCTAATTATGATTTAATTTCACCTCTTTGTTTGTTAAAGAAGTTGAGACTTTTATGATTATTGGCTATTTTTCACTTCTTTAGTCAAGAGTCTATTTAAATTGTTTTGTCTATTTTTCTCAGAATGGATTATCTTTTATTTATTTAAATATTGGAATATAGGGGCCGGGGATATAGCTCAATTGGTAGAATGCTTACCTTGCATGCACAAGGCCCTGGGTTCAATCCCTAGCACCAAAAAAAAAAAAAAAATTGGTACATAATCTATATAACTAATACTTTCTCAATTATCCATAAAAATATATTCTTTTACTGTGTGCCTATTTGTCTTTTTACATATCTTTTGACTATGAGAGGTTTCTAACTTTACCAGCCAAATTCATAAATTTTGACTACAGATTTTTTTTTTATCATAGAAGAAAACATTCAATACCCTAAAGTCATAGAGATGTGTGCACGTATATATATAAAGCATGTGTGTTTGTGTGTGTGTGTGTGTGTGTGTGCACTTTAAAGTTTTATCTTTCACAATTATGCTGGTATCCATCTGGAGTTTTTGCATATAGCCTGTGATAGGCATCCGATTTCTTTCTTTCTTATTTTTTTAACCTTTATTTTATTTATTTATTTATTTATTTATTTATTTATTTTTTATGTGATGCCCGGGAATGGAACCCAGTGCCTTGCGCATGCTAGGCAAGCGCTCTACCACTGAGCCACAACCCGCCCCTGTCATTTCTACTTTCTTTCTTTTACTGTGTGTGTGTGTGGGGGGGGGGGGGGGGGGGGTGGTCCCTGTACATGGATATCTGATGGTTCTAGCACCTTGAATTGAAAAGACTGCTTCTTCATATTACTCTGGAATACCACAGCTGTCATAAAGGATTCACCACATGGAGAATCTGTTAACGATCCGGTCTTTCATTTCTGTCCCATTAGTCTATTTGTATGTGTGCCAGTATGACACTGCTTTTTAAATAAGTCTTGGGATCTGGTAGTCAAGTCTTTCTATTTTTCAAGAATATTTCACTTGATTTTGCTCCTTTATACTTAATACATTTTAGAATCAACTTGCCAAGTCCTGAGAGAGAAAAAAACAATCTGCTGAAATTTTTGACTGGGATTACATTGAGTCTTATAACATGGCTTTGGGTAGAACCACCTCCCTAACCCAATCCAGGAAACTGTATAGCAGATGAAGATTTATCTTTATACCCAACACTGAAAGCTAATCTGCTTTAAATATGTGAATGTTAAAAGACTACTTAAAATCTCCCCATCCTTTTCCCCCAGAATTTCAACTCCTACAAATATCAGTTTATTTCCCTTTCTACTCCTAGGAGGGCAGCTCTAAAATAGAATGCCACATTACAGTTACATTAGGTCCAGAATTGTACTTGATCCAAGTCCTCAGGAGGAGATCAAAAGATTTGCAGCTCTGAGGATATGAAAAATATCATTGACATAACTGAGAACAAATATCATCTAACCACTCAAAATCACAAACAAACACACTCACACTAGGCCTGCAAATAACTAACTCTTTAAATCACAATTTACAAACAGTTTCTAGTTGAGAATTGAGGGAGGGAGGGAGGGAAGGAGAGAGAAACACATGTACTCATAGTACATCTTAGGGAAGCTTCCTCCAGTACCTAGGGACCTTAACCAGCTCTGGGTTCCCGATATGGGAATAAGCAAAAGAGTTTTCAGTGCAGTAAAAAATGATTAATGAGCTTTAAGGTTGATTGATGAAGAGAGAAAGCAAAGCAGAAAAACAAACTCTGAACTTAATAAATGGAAGGGAAAAAAAATACCATCCAGAAATACTTGACCTAGGAAAAAGAGGAACTGTTTATGGTAATGTAAAGGGTTATGAAGACCAGGAATATTAAGCTGAAAAAAAAAAAGAATCTGAATATTTCCCCATAAATTCCTCCATGGTCAAACTAAGAAATTATTCCCCAGGAGAAATGGAGAAAACAAATTCTTGAGAAAACTAGAAAAGAAAAGCACTAGAGGACAGACTGTGGGAAAAAAGAATTTTGACCAGTGGGAATGGGCTAGACATGATCTAATACATCTTTTCCATTCTCTAGTTTCTGAGATTCTATACATCGGGGCAGAGGGAATGATATTATCAAGAAATAAGAACAACAAGAAATGTTTTGTTCAATTTTCAAGGAGCTATTAAAAAAATACAGCCTCTAAATGGGAACTGGATTCCTGGTCTTAAAAATATACAGAGAGCATCCTGCTCTTCCACCGTGAGTTTATGTTCCCGTCTGTTCCCCTGCAAGAGTCAGCGGGCAGCCTGCAGGCATGGCAGGGGAGATACGCCTGGTACCATGAGATCACGGCGTTGGAATGTAGAGTTTGGGAGGTGGGAGGATGGGGGTTCTGTGTTCAAAAGCACTGGAGCTGGAGAAGAATGAAAATGAATGCACAGCTTCCCCGTGGACCAGGGCAAACCGCAAAGAAAACAGCTTCAAGACGAGCCCACAGGAGCTCATTCACCCATGGGGCAGGCAGGAGCACCAGCCTACAATTCCACGAGGCTGGACAGAGGAGCAAAAGTGAGCTTTTTTACAAATCAGGTCTTCAGTTTTACTCAAGGCACAGTTCCTTAACAAATGCCATTTGCAACCAATGCATCCATTGGCTTGTTTTAGAATCAGCACTACCATTGGCACTTGATGTATTCCAGAACAGAGAATGGATTTTCAAATCAGAAGTAGAACAGATTTACCAATTTCACAAACACAAAAAATTTATAATTTTCTTTTCTTTTTTAAAGAGAGAGAGAGAGAGAGAGAATTTAATATTTATTTTTTAGTTTTTGGTGGAAACATCTTTATTTTATTTTTATGTGGTGCTGAGGATCGAACCCAGCACCCCAAGCATGCCAGGCAAGCGCGCTACCGCTTGAGCCACATCCCCAGCCCTATAATTTTCTTAATTTCAGTGACTACTCAAAATTAATTGAAAAGTCCTAAGCTATTAAGTATGGCAAAGAACAATGCTTGTGATTCACTTGAGAGTTTCTGCCTTTAATCCTAAATAGAAAACATTAAAAGTAAGCTGTAAAACGCTCAACTTCAGTATGGTTGTGGAAAACAAAAATTTCAACCAAAGGTTTCAAGAGTCCTTAAAAAGCCCTGCTATGCCAGGCAAGGTGGCCCATGCCTGTAATCCCAGGAGCTTGGGAGGCTGAGAGAGAAGGATCGGGAGTTCAAAGCCAGCCTCA